TCGAACCCGTCTGGTGAATTCCTGTCAGGTTTGTCCCTGTCAGGTTTGTCCCTGTCAGGCTCGATCCCGAAAGGTAGTTGGTTCCAGGTTGGTAGTTGTGGGCATTTTGGTCGTAGATGTCAGCGGGTGCTAGGCCCAACTGCAGAAGGCGTTCCGGGTTGAGGAGTGTGCCACCGGCTGGGTGGCCGCTAGTGTGCGCGCGATACTCATGTGGTGAGTGGGGCAGGGAAGGAGAATTGAATCCGGATTGACGATAGGATTGGTGTAACAAGCCGTTGGCGTTCGGTAGGCCGTTGGCGGTGGGTAAGGCGCTGCTGGCAGGTTCAGAGTAGCCTCCTCGTTCCATGTAGGCTCCGCGTTCAGAATATCCTCCGCGGTCATTGCATCCCCCGCGGTCAGTGCATCCGCCGCGGTCGCGGACGGCGGCAGTCGCTCGAGCATCTAAATTAGGTTCCACGATTTCGGGTAGACAGAACTTGCTCTGGCACATGATGGCGAGAGATACGAGGAAGTAGAAGAGACATGTGATGCAGGCAGCGAGTGCAGACAGGCCGCAGGCGACAGTGATGTCATTTTGGCGATTGCGCAACCAGCGTACAGCCACCCAGCCGCAACCCCAAGCCAGGCCGACATGCAGCCAAGGGTTCATGACCATGGGAAGACCGGCAAACAACACTGCAGCCTGCACGACAAGGGCTACGGAAACGATAAAGGCCGACAGCTCAATTGCCGGCGTTGCCAGGCCTGTAGAGTGTGTCAGCTTGACTGACCACACGTTCCATCCTAGCAACGCCAGGAACGTCTCCCAACCCAACTGCAGCGCAAAGGGCGTCTCAATCAACAACCAGTCCTCTACCGTGTACTCCTCGTACCGCCCGCTTCGAAACTCTATAGTTATTAACAAATACGAAAACAGGGTCAATGTCCACATCAACGTACCCAAAATCGCCGTAGGCAACAACATCCCTTCGCTATACGACAATAACCACGCAGAATACACACACTGATGCACTATCCACGGCACCGGAATCTTCCGCTGCACCAACTTACTGCGCCGAGCACTCCCATGCAACAACTGATACGACACAAATCCAAACAAGCCTGCATATACCGGAATCCAAATTATGTACGCCGTACGTTCCGGCGAAAGGAGACTATCATAAATAGACAAGCTGGTTTCCAAATCCGCAAAAGTGAAGTTCAGAAAGTAAACAACGAATATCAAGGTCGATATCGACCACTCACCCAACGCGCCTTTCATCGCCACTCTGCCGAACCCAACGTAATATTTGCTCAATGTAATATTTGCTTAATGTAATGTCGGATCGACTCAGTGCGCTGATTGCTTGAATACCCCGGTGCTTTCCACCAATTCCTCAAGATAAACGTCCCCAAAATTCAGACGTAGTTCTTTATATTTGTAAGGCATCGGAAGAAAAAGGAAGGGAAGGATATTACAGCGCACCACACGCGTGTGCAAGGAAGTATCCGGCGCAGAATACACCCATCTGCGTTGCATTTAAGTCGCAAACAGCAAAGGGAAGAGTCGGGCGTATCGATCGGAGGTATTGACCGAGTCGTATGATGTCGGAGAACGGGTGGAGGTTTAGTATATGGTATTGGAAACGGTTGCAGTTATTGACTGGGCAATTGTGTCTTGTAGCATATCGTCGACGACATTTTGCAGTTGTCGTTTTGCATGCAGTTTTCCGACCCTTTGTAGCATAAGTTCTTCTTCGGAGTGCTTGAGATCTTGCTCAACTTCTTTTTTGTAAAGTTTGAGTAGGGACTTGATAGATGCGACTTGTTTGTTGGTATGTTGTTGGTGGTCTGTAAATGATTTGAGTTTAAGGGTGTCGGTCCATTGAGGTTTCATGAGTCCTGCGAGAATCTTTTGTTCTAAGGGCGATTTCTTGTAGTCAATAACAAGTGAATGGTAGTGTTTATTGAGGCCGTGAATTAAGGCGGTGATAGTGGGTTTGGTGCAATGACCAGTATTGGAGGTGGTTTGGCGGGGTTCTGGGCTGAGCAGTAGCAAATGAGGGTTGATGAGCCTGAAGCAGTCGAGCACAACTGAACCTTTGACAGACTGGACCGAGTCCACAACCACGCCCACTGCTCGACTATTCAATTGTTCGAAAGACTGCTGCGTATTTATATCCGTACCGCTGAACCAACAACCAAATCCCGGATGCGAATGATACCATCCTACCACCATCTCCGGCCTACCTGTCCTCTTAAGCATGTCCAACATCTCCGCTTGATAAACCGGATCCACAGCCTCCACACTAACTGTGTTTCCCGACTGAGGCATAGAGAACACATCAACCACTCGAATAGTATACTCATCAACAAATTCACCCAACATCAAACCCATCACCTCCATTGGCACACCTGCACGACCATGCCTCAACATTTTAATCAACGCTAACGATGAGATCGTCACTTGCTCACTCGTATCTCCGAACGGCGCTTCATTATCTCCGAACCCAATCAGACTACGAATCGAAGATGGTATACCCGACATTTTTTACTCCCAAAATTCACCACCACCCTTCATCTACATCCTGCCAGCTAAAGCCCGTCAGCCGGTTCGTTTAAAGTCAAACTCGGACTCTTAACTAGACACCTTAATCGCAAACAAAGTGTACCAAGACGAGAGCGAAGATGAGATGTCATTGTGGAACCTGCGCGGTCGTGGGAGGAGCCACCTCCCTATTGTTCCTTCCACGGGAGCTTCGCAAATGGGCCGCTTTAGGACTCGCTCTTGCGGTAGGGTTCTATCTGATGTTTTCTGCCCAACTGGAAATAATCTTTGACCCCACGGCCGTCCTTAACTTCCTGAAACACTACGTCCTTGAGCATGCTGCGTTGACGCTCGCTACACTAGTGCTGGCCGCCTTCACTGCAGCGTGTACAGGCACTGGCCACACTTGGAACTGGAGACTTGCCAGGGAGTGGAACCCAGTTCCGAATAAAAGTTCGACCGAGCAAGGACACAACCCAGGAAAATGCTGTTCAAAGGCGACTTAACCTAGGATAGTTCCCTTCGTGCTGATGAACCTGTACGTGCTGACGAACCTGTACGGGCGTCCAGAGACTTGATGCCTTGGTCCTCTTCACGGCCACCCGGCTGTCAATGGTCTTGTCGCATCTTATGCTCTTCCATCAGCTAGCTTCCTCCCCAGGCTAGCTTCCTTCCTAGGCCAACTTGCTAGACCAGCTCCTCTCCAGGTCAGCTTCTTGGAGCTACTAAGGGCCCGCGTTTAAGGGCCCGCGTTTACGGGCCCGCATTTAAGGGCCCGCATTTAAGGGCCCGTAAGAGGATTACAGGAACGGTGGCCTGATTATACCGGACTTCTGGCTTGAGCCGGGTATCGTCCGCCACCTCAAAGCAGGCAAACTAGCGAGGGGTCCGAGGACTCTTTTTCGAAAATGTCTAACGTGCTTCCCATGAGCCACGAAAGCACCGACAGAGCCACGGCAACAGACCCGATGATCCATTGGAATACGTGCTTGTGGAAAGCGGAGCTGAAGGAAGCATGTTGTAATCCGAGTAGCACCCGCGGACCGCATCCACCGCGTGCATATATTGTGTCATGTAGGTGTGTACCGTAGGTGGCGTATGGAGAAGACAGCGTACTAGGGATTGTTTTTATCGTCAATTAGAGTGACCATTACAAAGGCAAGAGCGAGTTTTAGTACTGAGGTAGCATAGGCGCTCCACATCACAGCCTTTGCCTTCGCGGCCTCCATTCCGTTTAGTTCGCTAGCGCAGTGCCAAGCCAATTCCGCGGTCCACAGGTACAAAATGCAAGGCACTAGAGCTAAGCAGCGGGCGGGATGTCAAGGGGCAGTGAGGCATGTCGGGTAAGGTAGTAATTACTGATGAGCGACCATAGGACACACATGACGGAGTCCTGGACATCATACTTCTCCGTCGATACCAGCCAAGGCTCGGCAGCCTCCGTCATCCAACGAAGGAACCATAACCCGCCTAAACACTAGAAAACAAACCCGTCCGGTCCGTGGGAGAAATGGTCCACGGGAGAGAAAGGGGGAGATCAGTCCGCTCCCGCGGCTCTTACGGCAGATGTCACCGCGACTGCGTACGCTGCCGTTTGGGACGGCACGCAGATTCTTCCGTTGACGATTTGTTGTGGTTCAGACATTTTAAAAACCAAAGCGCCGTGAACAAAATAAAGCAGGCAAAAGGAAGTCCGTGGAGCAGACGTCGACGCTATCGGTTTGTTCGGATGAAGCCTCGATAACGACAAGACACACCAAAGTCACGACACTGAAGGCACAACATAAATGCTTAGGCCTAACCCAGGCTCCAACGGGGTCTAGTTCCGAAAGTCGTGTCCAGCGCAATCTGTCTCACATAGGACCCGGCTCGGATGTTCGAATGCATCCTTCTACGCGCTGCTAGCCGGTTCAGCGGTGTTCTCGGAGTCCTCCGCAGCATGTTCGTGTTTAGAAGTTTCGTCAGGCCTGCACGCATGTCCTTCGGGCTCCTCTTCATCCTCTTCGTCACTGCCGGCTTCGTCGTCGAAACCATCAGGGAGACCACCACCGAACTGGGAGAAGTCCATACCGCCGAGACCCCCCATACCCCCGAGGCCGCCCAT